CAATGAAAACAACCCCCACAGCTGCAATGGAAGCACAAATAGGACTCCCACCTCTTCACTATGTGATACAAGGGGAGGCAACATTAGGTGCTTACAGATTAGGGAATACACTGGGACATCTTGACATTAGGCCAGGTCACATGAGTATCTCAAGGTTAGTGACAGGAGACGTGCTAGACATGAGATGAGACCACATAACCAAGAGGTACTCTTTTTATACTACATTTGAGGTTTTAATACAGGAAAGAGCGGAGATGACCATAAGGGAGCCCAACGACAGGAACAAACCTGGTATACAGACGGGTCTAAGACTGCAGAAGGCACTGGGGCGGGAGTATTCTCCAAAAACCCTGATACTAACCATAGCTATGCTAATACATTCCTCGGTATTTCAGGCCGAGGTATACGCAATTTTGCAATGTGCAAAAACGAACAATGAAAAAGCTGTCGAAAATCAGCATATACAAATAATGTCAGACAGCCAAGCGGCACTTAAGGCTATATCGAGTCAGAAAGTTACGTCGAGGCTGGTATGGGAATGCATCGAAGAACTAAGAACACTGGCAAACCGAAATAAAGTAAAACTATTTTGGGTGCCAGGTCACCAAGGGATCGAAGGCAACGAAAAGGCTGACGAACTTGCAAAAAGAGAGTCAGAAAAAACACCAAAACCAGACACAAACTCAGGAGTATCAAAAATCACAGTCCAGGGTTTCATAAACGACTGAATTGGGGAACAACATATTAACTTTTGGGGAAGCACCCCAAAACAGGCACATGGAAAAGCCTTCATAGACAGACCATGTCCCAAAATAACTGGAGAACCACTCTTTATGAATAGGAACCAGTTGAAAGTGATAACAAGGTTCATGACTGGACACGCCCAGTAAAGGGACACTTAAACATAATTGGCATGTACAATGGGGAACTCATGTGCCGACTATGTCACAGGAAACCAGAAACGGCCAAACACATACTGTGCGAATGCGAAGCTCTAGATCGCAAAAGACAAGCTCTTTTTGGACAACTCCAGGTTAATCCAACAACGTATAGAACCCACTCACCCAAGGATCTGTATAAACTTGTACAAGGTAAAAAGGTGACAGAGTGGGTGCTATGAACTAACATGGGGTAAAACACAATAAGCCAATAGGCTTCAGTGTTATTCGGAGACGTAGTCAGACGAGCCCAGGAGAAAACAAAACAAAATTTGTAGGGAAACAAAAAGAATCTTCTTTGCATCAATTATGACATAACCTGCTTAGCATATTTGTATTTTTTCAAAATATGCAATCAAAAACAATTTTAAACCAAGTCTTAACCATAGAAAAAAATTATTTCGGCCAATGCTCATCATCAGGCCTGTAAGAAAAGGTATCCAATAATATAAATTCGATTTATAATGTAACCGTTGTTTATTTTAAAAATAGTTTATCAATTGGTTGTGGCCACTGTTTGATGGAAGCTGACTTTCTCATCTACAGCCACGCCATTCTTGCTGACTATATGACCCAGGTAATTAACTTTATTTTCTTGGAGTTTACCATCAGTTGGGCAGCTTAAAGACTTTTAAAAACATCTTCTAAGTTGTTCAAATGGTCATCAATTGTCTTCCCCAAGACTATGATGTCGTCTAAATACACCAGGTACGTTTTCTAGGATAACCCTTTCAATACATTTTTCATAAGTCTTTCAAATGTCGCGGGGGCATGATATAGTCCAAATGGCATGACATTGAATTACCACAATCCAGATCCGGTGATAAAAGCTGTCTTTTCTTTGTCTACTGATTCCTATTTTACCTTCCCGTATCCAGACTTTAAGTCTTAAGTAGAAAATAGTTTATTTCTACCCAATATGTCGAAGGTATCATCAATTCGAGGCAGAAGATAACCAACTCTCTTTTTAGATAACATTGTTCAACTAACGGTAGTCCACACATAACCTGAAGAGACCCATGGACTGGTAAAAGGTTATAACACCCTGTCTTCCTCCATTTCCAGAACAATCCTTTCAGCTTCCTCTCTTTTGGCCTTTGATAATCTTCGAGATGATTAACGAATTCGTATGGCGCCACCAGTGTCAATTTTATGTTTTACAACAGAAGTTCTTCATCTTTTTCCTCCTTTTGGTTCAAAAATGTCACGATATCGTAGAATATATTCTTCTATTTTCCTTTTTTCCAATTGACTCAGAGATTAAGCAGCAATTGCAATCATTTGCTCGAATTTGTCGTTGGAATTAGCAGATGTTATTGTCTAACGATTTATAGAAGTTACTGGTACACAAGTTCCAATTCCGGTATCTTTCTTGATGGTAAACGAGTGATCATTACGTTTATAAGACGTACTGGAATTTAGCAGTCGTGACCAACCCCTTTCCGATTAGAATTCCACGTCCAACCTCTTCACCGTGGTTCCAAGGTTCCATCAGGACAGGCGTTCTTTCTTCCACAGTTTCTTGAAGCAGTGCTATAATGGCTTCACTTCTGCCAGGTACCATCGTATCTTCCTGTACAGCAACTGACACAGTACTGTCCTCATATAGATGTATAAATGAAAACCTTCTCAGCAGCAACTTTGATCACTCTGTTCTTAAAATACAACAGTAAGCAATGTAAGTTCATTAGATCCATTCCTGATATGTCAAAAAAAAAAACGCACGAGTCGCATACCTGGTGGATAGCAGTGAAGCGGTGCTGCGGGGAAGCGTAGATTGCTCTTGCGGAGACCACTGTCATGATAAGTGTCGTAGCCGTAGCTATTTAGCACTTGTACAAATTTATTATTTCGAGAAAATGAAAGAAACGTCGTTGCAAACGAAGATATTGGGTTCACCCGCTGCTCAAAAAAAGGAGTACCAATGGAACTTTGGTATTATTAGAGATCTACAGAGATCCTTACTTTTCATATTCTACAACGCTGGACGGACTTCAATTTCATATACTTTTCGGTATCAAAATCCCTTTTTTTATTATTCCCGCACACCACAAAGTCAAAAATAAAAAATATAAAATACTCTCGAAAATGTTCTAAATCGCTTAAATCCGCGCAAACTTGCGTTCTTGTTGTGCGTAATCTCTCTACAAAGTCTGAACATGTCCACGCAGTCTTCGCCTTCGCCGCGTCTAATGCCGGCGTCCGCTCATCCGCTCAGTTGTTTACCTATATCTACTTCGATATCAGCAACAATAATAGTACGAGTGAACTTTTTCGTACCAATTTCTAATTGAACCTGGATTTCCCCATGGATGTTGGCACTTTTACCTGTGGCAGTCCGTGGTCACAATCTTGTTGGTAGAAATCTCTTGCGGTTATTTATGGTTGTTGGTCGTATAATGGTCCTATATGCTTCAGAATCCACCAACAGTGTATACTTTTTACCATTTACTTCATCGTCTACGTATACACTGTCATCGCGACATTTCAAAGAGGCCATCAGCAGGAGCAGGTCTTTGGAACGGTTCCGGGTCAAAGTTGTCTCTTCTAGGCCGAAGCGCTCTAGTTTTACTGCAACGTGTCTACATTTGTTGTTACCCTAGGAAGTACACGAACTGCGTACATATCTCAGTACATGATTGGCTTCGTCTTCATCTTTTTATTGCATATTGCATGTTTAGTCTCTTTTTAAGTTGTTCAAAATCATCTGTCTCTTGCACATGTATAGTCTGAAGGAATAAAGGACTAAAGCGTCTCCTCGAAGGGCAATGGTCAAATTTACTGCATTTACTCTTTCAGACCATTCGTTCGCTCTCACAGCTGTTTCGAAAGTTAGGACTTTAACATGAGCAGAGTTTACAGTTCCAATTTCAACTTTTACTCCACCTTATGGTAGTTTATTTCATCGTTCTTGGCCTGTTCTGTATGTTCCAGGTTTTCTTTATTATTTTCCATCTCTTTTATTTTCTGTTCAACGGAAGACATTATTTTCTCCTCAACGAAAGAAATCCTATTTTCCACATCAGCAGAAATTTATTTTTTAAAAGATATTTCAGAAAATATTTTTTTTTTTTTTAAGGAAGAAATATCAAAAAAAAACATTAGTTTCTAAGGAAGAAACTTTATTATCTAATGAAGAAATGTCAGAAGAAATAAGGGATTTCATAATATATTTTACTTTACAAAGAAGAAATTATAGAAGACGCATCATCAGAAAATAGATACGTTTCCGAATCCAAACTGTTCACGTAGTCCAAGTAATGGTGGTGAGTTATCAAATGTCGCCAACCTCTTGTAAGAGACTCGTGCTAGGGCAGACAGTGTACTTAACTTCAATATTTCATAATGTACCAAAAGCAAAGGGTCCAGAATCAAGTATAGCATATTTTTAGAATGCCTCTGACTCCATGTCTCTACAAAGTAGGGTTAGAATCGTAGTGTGCGAGTAATAGTGGCCCAAATGAGTGCTGTTTAAGCATTAATGGCATATTTTGAGTTATGCCACTATAGACTTTCTATTTTCGATCTATTTCGTTAAATGTGCCAGTCTAGTTAATAGACATTTTTTTTTTAAAAACAAAATTTAGCACTAGTGATCACAGTCAAAGTTTATTAATATTATTCAAATAACATTTGAAAAATAAAAATTAAAATATATAAATTTTTAATACCGATTTTCTCAATAATATTTATTTTTATGTTGTGCCACTATTGTCGCCGGTGAACGATATATTGTGCTTTTGGATAAAAACTTTTATTTTTATATGACAAAAGATTTTTATTTCTAAAAAAATGGTCAAGAAATTATCCTCTTTCTATAATAAATTTATTGTTTTCTTTGTTTATAAATGACAAATTTCAAATCAATAGAAAAATAAGTAAAACATTCAAAATATGTCAGAAAATTGGACTTTATCAACGATCTATAGTTTTATTCAAAGATGATATTATTGTAAAAGAAGAAAAAATATCTGAACGAAACTGTATGGAATGGCGTGACCAACAATGTAACAATTGTGACAGCTGTAGGCGATAAAATTAAGAATTAAAAAAAGTACTTACGTATTCTTTGACGTTCTTCGTCCTCACAGCCTTGTATGAAGAATAAGCGGGGTAAAGTGTACCAAAAACTAATCTGAAAACGGGATACAACACCAAATAAGTCAGCGCTTTGTGGCACAAAACCGCCAGGCCAATCAAAATCACTCCCAAATGTATCAGCGACGGTCTCAGTATCACTAAATTTCTAAACATTTTAGCATTTCAGTCTTTCGTTAGAAATATTTGCTCATTTAAAATAACTATATTATAAAACGCTATAAAGAAAAAAAGTAAAACTAAAATAAATTAATGTTTACAGGGTGACTAATTTATGATCATACCTCGGGGAACATTTTTTGTCAATTTTAGGATTTTTTTTTTGTCCTTTTTAATAATATTGGTATATTGTAAAAGTAAAAAAAAAACTGGGAGGAATTTACCTAGTTCATAATTTCTAAAAAGAAGGCTGTTATAATGGGTATGTCAGAATTTCCTTTGAGATGATCATGGTATCGACCTAGTTACTGGAAACTGCAAAAAACAGACAAAAAATGCAATGGAAATCAAGCATTAAATTAAACATAGTGTTCACTCTATACAATATGTTAATTTTCTCCTCAATGGCAACAAAAAGAACAGTATAAAAATAGGCGATGCTATTTATTAGACAGAGAACTGAAAGTCCGCGCCAGACCGCTAGTGGTATAATCGATACAATATTAAAACCAATGCACGTCATCGATGACGTATTTCCTCTTCTGCAGTAATACCAACAAATGAAATATTAAGATTTAAAGGTCTGATAGAGATTACCTGTTCGTAATTTATTTTCTATCATATCATGACGATAAATATTCATTTGCTTCTTTTTCTTATTTAGTTGCATTAAAGATAAACTGCAACAAATATAAAATTGTTTTTGTCATCCTTATTATGGTTCAATCACGTTGTTATTTTTTAATTCTATAACACTGAATTCCTATGCCTATGAATTTTTAACTGTATAGTGACAGCTAAGTTTATAATAAAGTTGGTATTTTTTTATTAACTGTCATTTTAAGTTCAATGTTGTCATATATTTATTGTGTCTTGTAATTGCAATTTGTTGATATTTTGAGTTATTTATTATTTTTAGTTATTTCGTTATTTTTTTTATCGTTTTGTTATAATTTTTGATTATTTGGTCATTATTTTTAGTTATAAAAAACTTCTTTTAAGAACAACCATATTGACTTCTTCGCAGGTTTAAAAATGCCAAAGAAATTAAATATCCGATGTAAGAAGCTCGTAGCGTCATTGATACTGGAGTGCGTTTGTTTAGAAACCTTGCACGGTGCGTCTGGACCCTATTCTAATGTATGTGGTCAGACGAGCCATAGGAGGTTTCTAAACGCACTCCAGTATTTTGAACAAGAACGCGATAACAATGGTCCTTTACTACCTTTAACTGCTGTTAGAGAAGTAAGTTTTTACTTATATTGTCTAGAAACATCAAACTATTCTCATTTTTTTAGCGTGTACCGGCAGCACCTTAACTTAAATTGTCCGCTGTAAGTGCTATTTCTCAAGCAGCTAAGAATGATGTCGTTTTGAAATCGCCTCCAAATAAGCGTCTTCGTACAAAGAAAGTAACTAATACAAAAACTCTAGATAGAAGTACAACTGAGATGTTATTTACAACATGTATGAAGCTAGTAAGTATAGAGTATTCATTTTATATCATCTAATAATAAATACCTATATATTTGTTTGCAGACGAACACGTAACTTTAGATTCTTTATTAGAACAATTGAAAGAAAAAAGAATTGTTTAATGGATGCCGCATATCATTATGCACCAATGGCGGCTCCAGGGGGGGCTATGGGGGCCATGCCCCTCACCCGGGATGAAAATTCTTACAATTTATGGGCCTCTTATTCAAAAAAATATGCTAAAAAGGAAATGGCTAAAGGCAATGCCCCCTCCCCCCCGAAAATTCGTCTTGGAGTCGCCCTTGTTATGCACCTTATTTAAAGTAATTGGTTTTAAATGAAAACAGATGATCCAAGGCGAGGGCTTATGAAACTTTCCGATGTTGCTGTGAAACGGGCTGTATTTTCAAGAAATTACATGAAAGAAAATGAAACAGGGTTATTTCAGTTTGTTTTTATTGATGAGACGTGGATTTTTCAATATGGGACTATACCGCAGAAGCAGAAGCATCACAAAGTAATCTGAGTAATTATGATGGTGAAATGAATAATGAGAATTTTTTTAAATGGTTGAAGAACAGTTACTGAAAAAACTTAATAGACCATCCTCAATCATAAAGGACAATGCTTCATATCACAATACATTGTTACATAAAACACTAGCTGGACAAAGATTAAAATACAAGAGTGGCTGAAAATCAGAATATTAGATTTTCATTTGCTTTTTAAAGCGAAACTTCTGAATCTTGTTGCACAGTCAGTAAAAGAAATCTGTTTCGTCTGTAATTTTTAGATTACTTTTTTTAGAAATAAACCACCAAAAATAGGGGGGTGGGTTGGCTCAGTGGTTAGAGTCATGACTTTAAGATCGGAAGGTCTCAGGTTCGAATCCCACCGTTGGCCGGGATTTTTTCATTTAATTTAATTATTTAAAATTAATTCTGATGCCTTAGTAGGATTCCCCACTCGACCATTCACTGTTGGGTTCTAATTAACAGTGCTGTTCCTAAAGTGGCGCTGGGAAACAGTAACAAAGCCTACACAGAACACGAGGCTAATGGCCGTAGTAGTAAAAAAAAAACACCAAAAATGTACTTGGCTGATCTTTTAGCAGAACAATGCGGACACGCCTTCCTCCTTATCATTGATTATTCAATCCAATTGAACTTATTTGGGGCATTACAAAGCAAAATTACAATAGACATATTGGTAGAGATGGTAAAAAAAAAGATTATTTAAATATGCGGTCAGAAGCACAAATTTGAAAAAAGAAATCTCAAAATGGTACGATAGAGAGGGAATAATTGATAGAATACAAATTGCTCCAATTATTATTACACCAAACAGCGATGATAGTGATTTCAGTAGCGATGAATCTGAATAACAATCTCAGGAGACGTCGAAAGAGACATTGTTACAATTATGGTGATGATTTGGAGTTATTGAATGAAATACACACTAATACTATAATCGATTGCACTGTAATACAATCGATTTATACTGTAATAATAATTGTATTCTTTAGTTTACGTTTTATTATTTGTTTAATATTTATTTTGTTATTTGAATAGGATTTTTATATATAACTAACAAACTATAAAATAAAAGTCGTTATGTTTTGAAAAATATTTGTTTTCATTTTTTGATACCCAAATATTGTTCAAGTTGTTAAAATACTATATTAATATCGTTCCCTTAATACTACAACTAGCTAAATTCTATTGTCATTATTTAACACCAAACCTCCCCTAATTCCTTTTGAAAATAAAGCCTATTTTGAAAATCTACCTTTTAAAGAAGGGAAGTATCTGACAATTCCAACATAAACGAGAGCGTGTAAAGATTTATTAATAATTAGGTACATTAATTATTTGTTCTTCATTTTTCTTTATCTTTTAAGCAATAAAAAGTTGTACTCATTGCTAGTTCAAAAACTAGATAATATATTTGTTTTTTTTTTAATGTTTAAAACTAGATATTTTGTTTATAAATAACAAAAAAATTAAACGGAGATTTAAAACATTTAAAAATAATCAGGATTTAGATTCATTTCAACAACCTGCGAAATAGTCAAAAATCTTTTTGATTTGC